ATAGGCGGCGAGGCCTAGTGTAGGTGGCGCTGATGTGCAGGTAACTGTCGCCGGCAGTCTCAAACGAGTGGTTAGACTGGTTGACCGGCGAGTGGAGTTGGTCCCAGGTGTGCACGTGTCTCGGGTACTTAAGGGTGGAGGGAGTCTTGTCTGCACACAAGCTTCTGAGCACGTATTATTGTTGTTGAATTCATATCCTTAAGTATGCAGATATGTTGTTGAATAGGTGGTAAAGGAACAGGCAGGATCTTGCCTAAGCAAGAGATTTCCGTAACAATATTTTAGTTGCACTTCAACATAACTGGGGTTAAAACGTTACAAACATGCTGTAGAGTAGCAACTAGTCAACATGATAAACATTTGAACAATACACAAGGCTTGAAAAAGTACAATAATACTCGGTAAGCTACACAGTTTATCTATATCGTCCAGACATATTTGAGGCATTATCGTATGACACAACGGCAGTTTGATTGTGGGAATTTTCTCATTAATCTGTCGTGGATTAAGAAAATCCACGACAGTGTCTGTTAGATCCTAATTTGCTCCGTGAGAAAAGATGAGGATGTTTAGCTTCGATGTCCAAAGGGTTTGGAAAAGTCTATGGGAGGAAGAAGGATGAGTAGACATTCTGGAAGAGGCTGGGGTTAGGGAACGAGGAGGATGGGAAGTTCGGTGGGCTGTCCACCATGGGTTAGCATAAAGTATCGATCTCGGAAGGGAGCGTGTCGTTCTTCAGGTCTTCTTGTGTGGCAGGGGACTTGTGGTGTGACGGTTGGTCTTCATGCTGGTGTAGGCGGCGTCTTCCCGTTTGGTGTGGTACACTTTTTGTTGTTCTTGTACTTGAAGAACGCTGCAGTTGATGTTAGTTGAAGTAGTGATGGTAGTCGTTGGTGTTTATTCATTCGTGCTGGTCTTCTTTTTTCTTATTTCTTATAGCCGTTTTCAGCAAACTTGGTTCGTTCGTCTTCATGAGTTTCACGGAGGTCAATTAGTCTTACTCCTAGGTGACATTGTTGTGCTGTCGTTGGACTAATGTTGAGTTTGATGCGCAGGGCTTCAGTTGCTTCACATTCTACCAAGTAATGCAATAGTGGCGCCTCTACATCTGTTCTACAGTTAAGACACTAACTATTTGGGTGTATTACCTCAAATATTTACTATTTAGTTCCACACCAGGATGTAGGGTTATATAAGTGTGCTTGCATCAAGACCTAAATGGTTTGAACATTCTGCTTCCATAATGAACATGTCCTATGCTCGTGGGGCCCCGGGCAAGTGCCCATTTGCCCCATGCGGTAAGACGGCACTGATTACATGTTAGTTACTTATGGAAAATGTTTGCTAGCAAGTGTATGCATACGTCAGGATCATGCGAGTATCTGGAAAAACGTCTTTGTCGTCCAAGTGGTCAAGGTCACGCACGGGTGGGTGAGGCAAGTTGAAGAGTCAACACGATGTGCTTAAGCAAAGTATTCTGACACCTTTTGTGTGAGGAATGTCGTACTGATGGTTTAGTGCAGCAACAGTGGTTGTGAGGTGTTGGTTATCTAGAGGGGGGTCTCGGGAGTTGTTCTACTCCCCGAGCCTAGCCTGGGGCCAGTTATCACAAGTTGAGCAACAGGCTGTTGCTCAACTTATAACATGGTCCAACAGGGTGTTTGTTTGAAGCGGCCCGCAGGCCCACATATCCACTACAACCCGGTTGGTCCTGCACTTTTTGCAAGAACTTATCCAAATCCTTCTTGAAGACTTCCACCTTTGTTCTGGCAATATTTTTAATGCTTGCTGGGGGATAATGAACAGTCGTGGACCTCTGGTGTTCAGACATTGGTCTCTGGTTGTGCCTATGGCACCTCTGCTCAATGGTTCTATTCTGTATTTCCTTCTGTACCTTTCGGTCCAGTATGTTATTCCACTGTGCAAATTTGGGATCTGGCCCATCAGTATCTTCCATGTATATATTATTTGATACGTCTCGTCGCATTTCCAGAGTACATTTTGAGAGCTTTGAGATGGTGCTAATAATTTGTGCGCGTTACCGTGTCTATACGTGCCGTATATTCTCTCTCAGAAATCTCTCCTGCTCTGAAAGGGGAAGCGAGTACCGAGCAGGACTAGTTGAAAACAGGGTTGTTGATTTGTGGAATAGATTACCGAGTAATATAAGACATGGGATCACTTGTTTCAGTTTAGGCCAGACATTTGTATTTATTAGCGCCGGTAGATACAGGTTAAGTTTGAGGGTCCCGTTAGTACAGTCGGCTTCGCTCTCGACTCATTCGAGAGTTCCTGGTTGGACGCCTTTCCTATCACCTAATGCCCCTGTTTATCTAGCAGTAAATAGGTATCCAACAGTTAGTCAGCTTGTTGTGGGGTTGCATCTTGTGGAGGGCCAGTAATTCGACCCTGGGGTCGAATATAAGCGGTCCTGTATATAAGCGTATGATGTACTGTATGTATAAACTGGCTGCCTGTCTAAATTAGGTGTGGGTGCCTAGCGGACCGCGACCGCGACTACGGCTCAACGACCGTACTCCACTTCCCTCGCTGAAGGGTACGCCAGTGTGTTGCCCTATACAATGTTCTATTATTACTCGTGTTTAGGTCTTGGTGCTTTTGATTTTATAAAAGTTTAAGGGAATGACTTAGAATATCATTGTCTTGTCATATAGACTAGAGAATATTGCATGTGATGTAAAGAGTGTCACACCTTCCCTGATATCCTCAAAAAAGCAAGAGTAACGCCAGTCCATAAAGGAGGCAATCCGGCGGACATAAACAATTATAGACCAATATCAAATCTACCCATTCTATCAAAAATATTTGAAAAAGTTATTTACAAACAGCTCTATTCCTACCTCGTAAAATTCGACATACTCAGCCCCTGCCAGTTTGGCTTCCGGTCCCAAAAGAGCACCAACGATGCAATCATTAGTCTCCTTGACGTTATCTACTCAGCTCTTGACAAAAATGAGTTTTCGATTGGACTCTTCATTGACCTAAGAAAAGCCTTTGATACTGTTAATTACAATTACCTCTTACTTAAACTCCAGCATTATGGAATCCGAGGCCTTGCCCTTGACTACATCCGATCCTATCTTAGTGACAGACACCAATATGTAACCATCAATGATACAACTTCTTCCACTCTACCAATTACCGTTGGAGTGCCACAGGGCAGCATCTTAGGACCTCTTCTATTTCTTATATATATAAACGATCTGCCTAATGTCTCTAATATTCTCAAACCTATATTGTTTGCTGACGATACTACTCTTATCTATTCAAACCTCAACCCACATACACTAAATACTGTAATGTTGTGAATAATGAATTAAAAAAAGTCCACTTATGGATGTCAACGAACAAACTAACATTAAACATCGAAAAGACTTACTACATCTTATTTGGAAGCAAATCATCAAATGCAATTCAGCTACAGATAGACAACATTAACATCAGTAATAAAAATGATGGCAAGTTTCTTGGCCTATTCCTAGACAAGAGACTCAACTTCAGCACCCACATTCAACACATAACTAAGAAAGTCTCTAAGACAGTTGGTATACTCTCCAAAATCAGATATTATGTTCCTAACTCTGCTCTCCTCTCACTATATTATGCACTAATCTACCCCTATCTTAATTATGGTATCTGTGCATGGGGGTCTACCACTACAAACCACCTTAAGCCCATCATCACACAGCAAAAATCTGCTATCAGAATAATAACTAACTGTGCTTTCAGACAACACTCGGCTCCCTTGTTTAAATCCCTAAACTTGCTAAATATTAACTCCCTCCACACATTCTCTTGTGTCAACTACATTTACAAAACCCTGTTCTTAAATGCAAACCATGCTCTGAAACTCTCCCTGGACAGATGTAATAGGACCCATTATCACCACACCAGAAATAAATATCTCTTTGATATCCCCAGGGTCAAACTTAATCTGTGTAAACACTCTATGCAAATTAAGGGACCTAATCTATGGAACTCACTCCCTAGTGAATTGAAAAACTGTAAAACTTTTGCCTTATTTAAAAGCAAAACCAAAAAGTACCTAACTTCATCTTCTTAGTTTCCTACACTGAGCTTTAAATTTGCTCTGTACCTAGTGTTACCCAATCTCCTAATTTTTATGTAATATCAAACAACCTTATCATTGTGTTCATTGCTGTCTTCTTTTATGTGCTAGCCATATGCTGTATTGTGACTACCAATTTTTGTCAACTACCATTCAAGCTGTAATTGCAATCAATCTTATATTGTTTCTGCTGTATTGTGCCTACCAATTTTTTTGTCAACTACCATTCAAGCTGTCATTGCAATCAATCTTAGTTACCTATGTGCTTTAATATACTGTACCTACAATTTTCTCTCATCTTCTTTTTTTTCATTTCATGTAATCTGTAATCATTTTTTTGTCTATAATTTTTGCAAGTATTTACCTCCTTAAAATTTTCTTAGGTTAAGGACCTGCCCGAAACGCTGTGCGTGCTAGTGGCTTTACAAGACTGTAATTACCATATTTGTATCCTCACATTCCTTATGTACACTCTTGTATATGCATAAATAAATAAAAATAAATAAATAAATAAAAAGGTATGTACTCTGGAGTAGGTATTTGTTAAACACGTTAACCAGAGCAAAGACATGGGCAGTTTTCATTCATTTAAGGTTCTGTCAGTAACATTACTGACAGAACCTTAAATGAATGAAAAATGTTCCTGACAGAACCTTAAATGAATGAAAACTGTCCATGTCTTTGCTCCGGTTACTTCCTCCCTGCTCTCAGTAGGCGAGTCAGAATTGCAACAACTTATTACTATTTGCAACCTTGGTTATCTCCATCTGAATTGCTAAAAACTATGTCTGCAAGTTTTTTTTAATGCATATTAATATTGTGCTATTCAGTACACAGAGTACAGTATTATTCTCAAAGAAATGTTGCCACAAATTCCCTTTTCAATTAATGATTTTCTTTTCCTGGACAGCTCCCCAAGATCACTTACTGCTGAGCAACCGTTCTCATGTGCTCCATGCCCTTGGATGTGCAGAGGATGCTCTTAGAGATGCCGAGGCTGCTGTCAAGTGTCGGCCTGAGTGGGCGAAAGGATATTTTAGGAAAGCAGTGGCTTTGAAGTCGCTGGGCCGCTTTGAAGATGCTATTGTATCTTTCTTACAGTGTGCTGTGCTTGAGGAGTCCAACAGTTTACAGAGCATCGAAGATGAGATCACTAAGGTTGTTATACATTAGTGGGATAAGTGCAGCAGTATAAATGTTTTTACCAATTCCGTTTTCCAGTATTATAGACTATAAAACTGAATGACAGCAGCTATGTTGTGATAAATATACAGTCTCAGATAAAAACACAAATTGATGTTATAATGAATTGTTTTATTGCAGGCATTACACAGGTTATTGTCGAGACTATTAACTGGTCGGAGGTTCACCGTTGATGGGCGAAGGGGTCGACGAAATCACTATTATTCTCAGCATTGTTCATTAGTCTTGGGTACTTCCATTACTCGAGAGTTTGACTCTGAGGACAGTGATGATACACAACAGCATCCATCTGAAGAGTCTGCCATGTCTATAGAAGAAGTCCCACAATTAAAAAAAATAATAAAGGAATTTAATCAAGATATGGAGAGGAATAAAAGTTAGTTCCTTCATTAAATTTCCGATTGTGTAGTTAGGACAAGTTATTTTTCTTTATCTTAACCCTTGCAAGTTATTTTTTATTATAATTAAAATGTTTGATTAACATACAGGGTAATTATTTTTTATATACAGGTACAGTGCGTTTAAAACAATGTTGCCAAAAATATACTTTAGTAAAGAAGGATTTCTATCCCAACAAATTTATTCTTAAAGATTTTGTAAACTTTCATCAGGCAGCTATTTATTTACTAAATGTTCATACAATTCACTACATTTGTTTTCCAGAAGCCAGTACTGGCTATGTTCGCAGTGTTGACCCAAGCAACTTTGACAAGAATGACTTTGAGTGTACACTATGTTATGATTACTTTTATCAGCCTGTTACAACGCCTTGTGGTCACTCATTCTGCCGCACCTGCTTGGACCGCTCTCTTGATCACTCCGCAAAATGTCCTCTCTGCAAGACCTCTATAAGAGTGGTATGTAATGGCAAGTTACTGTACATATTTATGCACATTAATAATTGGTAAATGATCCAGTACTTTTGTTATAAATAAGAACTCATTGACATGCCTCACTATACAATACAGTACTGGTATTTACAAGTATACAGTATCTATACTGGACTTGTGTATAAGCATTAACTAATGAATTTAACCTATAGCACTGTACTGTTTTGTATTTACAGTTTAAATCCCTGGCATTACTGTTGTCTGTGTGATATCTGAACACCAACTTTTAGTGGTGTAATTACCTAAATGTATTAACGGGTAATTACCTACGTGTATTGGTAATACACGTAGGTAATGAGATACAGGAGATATCTCCTGTATCTCTTGAGATTACAGGCACCATAATCCTGGTGCCTGTAATGATATACAGGCACCATACTGTGTCTTGTTTGGTGATACAGATACCATATCTGATATATACCAGATATGGTATATATCTTATACCATATATATATACTGTACAGTGTTTATTAACACACTTTTGCAAGGCAGAGTGAGATAGTAAAAAAAAATTAAAAAAAATGCGTATAATATATAGCACATTTTAATTTGTGTACGTTTTTAAGTTCTTGGCAGAAAGGCGATCAGCAGTAACAGAATTCATTGAGGTGGCCATGCAGACGATTATGCCAAGTGATTATCTAGAACGACAACGGCAACATGAAAAAGAGATGGATGAGCTAGCTGCTGCCGGCAAAGATCCCCACCATGAAATTCCTATATTTGTTGCAACTCTGGCCTTTCCAACTATCTCCTGTCCCTTGCATGTATTTGAGCCTTGTTATCGACTGATGATCAGACGGTGCATGGAATCTGGCACTCGAGAATTTGGAATGTGCATGCCTATGGCAAATGTTAAAAATGGGTAAGTAGGAGATCTGTTTGTTCCATGTGTGATTGGAAGCAAGTGATATAGTATAACTTAATTTATATGTTTGGCTATGTTTAGAATGTACTGTATATTGTAAAAGGCTAGATCATAGAGGACTGTGTCTATGGAGGTTCAAATTAAAATAGTCTAATCCATAATGGAAAGAGAAGAGGTTTATAGCATATTGTAAATACTGTATCTAGGTTCTGAATATTTGAAAATATGAATATGGGCTATGACTTTATTTTTTAAATTTTTTAAGAGTTTGGTACTCTTGTAAATTTCCTGTATAATGTAGTTTAAAAGACTGTTCTGGTGGCTGAAGAATGAAAAGTGAAAATGATCATATAAATTCATGGTCTTTAGCTTGTCACAATAAAGAACCCCAACAATACATTAAACAAAATGCTAAAATAACTTCTTAGTCATTGCTCACAAAGTATAGTAGTAAAAAAATTTCCATATGAAATGTGATAATGTCATGGTTAATAAACATAACCAAATTTTCTTCATTTAAAGGATCTGCTGTGAGCAAAAGAGCCTTAAAACTTTAAAATACACGAAATGCAATACTGTATTCTTGTCACCAAATATAAATGGTGATGTTTCAGCAAAATGTTTTTTTCTAGTTACGCTGACTTCGGCACAATGCTAGAAATAAGGGATATAGAGTACATTCAAGATGGTAGGTCCATAGTCAACACAGTGGGCTCAAGACGATTTAAAATTGTGAGCAAGGGTGGCAGAGATGGATATAATACTGCAGCTGTAGAATTTCTCCAGGTTAGTACCCATCAAGCATCACAGATTGTTTACATGACTATTTTATTACTTCACAAGATAAAAAGTGAAAGTTTTAACATGTCTTTTAGCAATATTTGGATGAACAGGAATAAGCATTTACGTATCTACAGCATCCAATTCCATTCTCTCAAACTATTACTTTTTCTTAATTGAACAACTTTCTAATTTTGCACACACACTCATTCAAACACCAGATGGAGGCACGAGAACATTGGTAACTTCTATAATGAGCTCAGTGGCCGACTTCCAGTAGAAAGATGGGTTGAGTCACAGGAACAAGGTTAGGGAAGATGGCCAGGTCAAGGACTGAGGCTTTCTAACTTTTTTGGAGAGGGATCAGATTTCTGTTTGACCAGAAAGTGGAGGCATAGATGAGCAGAGTTGTAGATACAATGTACAGTACTGTACTGCGTGATATCCACCAGTCTAGGATGGAATAGAATGACAGGTGGATAATCACCAGAGGACCCAGAGGAATGTCAGGATGAGGGTGGACATTGGTTCTAAAAAGTCAGTCTGGGGAGGGCCAAAAGATGGAGGTATAGAATGAGCCTGTGTACTTACTATTTGTGCAGAATCGAGATATTAGCTCTTGGACCCCACCTTTCAAACCTATATTTTTTCCTCTGTCTACTGGAAAGGGGCCTGACAGCTGAGTGGACAGCGCTTCAGATTCATAGTCCTGAGGTTCCGGGTTCGATCTCCGGTGGAGGTAGAAACAAATTGGCAGTTTTTTCACCCTGATGCCCCCTGTTACCTAGCAGTAAATAGGTACCTGGGAGTTAGACAGCAGCAATGGGCTGCTTCCTGGGGATGTGTAACAAAAAGGTGGCCTGGTCGAGGACCGGGCTGCTGGGACGCTAAGCCTCGAAATCATCTCAAGATAACCTCAAGATATATTACATATATTTCTCTAACACATGCACCCACATCCTCAGGAAGCAGCCCATAGCAGCTGTGTAACTCCCAGATACCTATTTACTGTTAGGTGAACAGGGGCATAAGGTAAAAGAGAAACTCCCCATTTGCTTCTGCCTCAGTTGGGAATCGAACTTGGACTCTTAGGCCTACGACCCCCGATCTCTGTTCACTCAATCATGAGGCCGTGTGTAATTATCTAAGGTGTAGTTACAGGATGAGAGCTACGCTCGTGGTGTCCAGTCTTCCCAGCACTGTCATATAACGCTTTGAAACTACTGTACTGATGATTTTGGCCTCCACCACCACCTCATTTATCTTCTTTCAACTGTCTAGCACTTTGCAAAAGAAAACTCTAATATTTTACTGACACCTTCGTTTCCTTCAGGAATTCCAGTTATTATTTTGTAAGTGGTGATCATATCCTCTCCTTTTCTCCTATCTTCTAGCTTTGGCATATTTAACACCTCTAGCCTCTCCTCGTAATTTGTTTTTTAGTTCTGGAAGCCATTTTGTATCGTACCTTTGTGTGAGGCACAATATTGTGAAAAGGAAAATTTTCAGTGAAGAATTTGAGTGCAACTACAAGCAGTATTTATTAAACATTTAAACATAAATTAAGAAGATATGAATGTAAATTAAACAAAATATCAAATCTATAATGGTGATGAAACTGGGCTGTATTGGAGGAGTTTGTCAGAAAAAAATATCTGAGTAATGAGGGGTGTGTGCCAGGATGTAAGGTTAACAAGGACAGGCTGTCAGCCATGGTGTGCGCCAATGCCATCTGGACACACACAATCACGTGTGTAATTGTTGACAAATCTAAGAAACCAAGAGCCTTACAACATTGCTTGAACAATCTGTCTGTGAAATATTATAGCTCAAAGAATGCATGGTTTAAAAAAAAAAAGATCCTTCTTGGTTTCATTATTTATTTTGCAAGGAAGGTTATGACCATCAAATTAAGAAATACAAAGCGAGGCCAAGCGAAGTTCGGACTGTGCTGTTGCTTGATAATGCACCTGCCCACCCTGAGTATTGACACCTTCACTTCATAAGATGGCAAGATAATATGTATGGCACTTCCTTCTAATGTCACATCGCATCCAGCGTATGGATCAGAGAGTTAGCTATGCCACAAAGAGGTTGTACACCAAAAATATGTCAATAGTTGAGGCAAATCAGAGTTGATCGTAAGAGAGGCCAGTGGACACAGGAGGCAAGCTGAACTTGATTCTTATTTGGTAAGAACAGCAAGCAAAGGCCCTTCATCTGGTGAAGCCTCACAAGGAATCCAAAGACCTTAACAAGTGAAGCTTCACCAGAAAGCAGAGACTTTCCAAAGACCAGTGAAGCATCAGCAGCTGATAATCAAAACTGATCTTGCCAAGATATGTACTGTTCAGTAATTTCAGAGTTAGGTTGAATAATTTTTCAAAAAATATTAATTTAAAGATGTGCAGCATCAGTCAAGACAATGAATTACAAGAAGGTAAGCTGAAGCTTATATTTTTAAAATTACAGTACTGGTATAGTTTTTAATTAATGTTTGTGGAAATACAAATTGTTGGTATTGGTAAAAAAAAAATTGAATATTCATTTTTGGACTTCTCTGGTAAGAATTCTGCTTGCAGTATCTGGACATCTGACTCATCCAGTGGGGGAAGGGGGTCCTACCCATATAGTCTGGATAAGTGAGCTCATATGGTACTTTAATAGGTGGGAAAAACGGCTCTGGCTAAGTAGTGCATGTCACTCAACTTATCCTCCTGCTAGGTTCGTTAAAGTGGCATTTCCCTCCCCCTCCCCAAGATGCATTCCTCAAGTTTAACATAGTGAGTATTAAGTAATTATCAAAAAATGGCACCATGCTGGAGAGACAATGTAGCACTGTGTCACTGGATATTGACAAGGTGCTAAATATCAGTGAGGATGCTAATAAGAGAACAAAAGCGCACAAAGCAAATGACAGTGGGAAGCAAGACATACAGATGTGAAAATTGGGACATCAACAAGGAGATGCATGACTTAAGAGAGACAAGCCAGTAAGGACAATAAGGAGCAGGGTGGCGTTCCATTAAGTGCCCGAGAGTGAGATGTGTATGGCCTATACATAACCTCACCAGAGCCGTTTCCCACTGGCAGTTACGGTGTTGGAAGGAAGGCCAAAGAGACATACTGCCCTTGACAGCATGCAGTTTATCAGTAACAAAAGACCAACGATCTGCAACCAGACATATGACTGTAAAAATCAGAATAAGGAATGCCTTTTCGGGCTTAATGGCAGTATCCACGTGCTCATTTGAGAGAATGCCAACATGGCTGGGAACCCAGCAAAACTCAACATGTTTAAAATGGCTAGAGATGAGAAATGACCAGTATTAGATTTCAATGACCACAGTGTAATTACCCAAATGTAATTATTCTGGCTCATGTATATAAATGATTATTATATAGTATATTCAAGTTGTGTAGTTAAGCATAGGTTAGGTGTTCAGGTTCTGCTTGGCAATTATTTAGTGCCCTCATGGCTCTGGAGTCCTTTAATCCAGTCCATCTGGTGGTAGTTTAGATTTAACATTGGCCATGTATTATCTCCAGTAGATTTAAGACAGTTGAGTTTTGCTGGGTTCCCAGCCATATTGGTGTCTCTTTAAATGAGCGTTTGACGCTGCCACTAAAGAAGCTATCAGCACTTGTCCAATCTCCCGTAAAGGTATTCATTCCGACTTTTACCCAGTTACTCATTCCTCCATCCTTGCCAGGGTTGTTGGTCTTCTGTTACTGGTAACAAACTGAGTACTCTTTAAGAGTAGTGTGTCCCTGTGGCCTTCCTCCTACCAACATAACCGGCGGTGGGAAACGACTTTGGCAAGGTTGCGTATTGGCCATACGCGCTTAACTCACGGACACTTGATGGAGCGCCGCCCTGCCCTTATTGTCCTAACTGCATTGTCCCTCTTACAGTTGTGCATATCCTTGTTGAATGTCCTGACTTTCAGGACAAGCGTATGTCTTGCTTTCCAACTGTCCCTTGCGGTCACTCGTCCCTCAATAGAGTTCTTGGTGAATCGGATACTTTTGATATCGTTCGCCTTGTACGTTTTTCCTCATATTGGCATCCTTAGTGATATTTAGCATCCTCTGATTATTCCACACATTTGATGGTGCTACATAGCCTTCCCGGCTTGGTTCCTTCTTTTATAATAACTTACTTGGCAATTATTTGTACTGTATCTGAAGTGGGTGAAGAATTTACATTTGCAATTCAAACAGAGGTTGTCAGTGAAGCACTTTCTAAGAAAAGTTTAATGAATAATTGTAATGTGTTGTAGTTTGTCATAAATTGAATTTGGCGGCTGGATTAACAAGCATTTGGTGTTTTGATGAGGATGGGCTGCGGTCACTTATGCTTACCTCATGGGCACTTAAGATATTTGTTCCATTATGGTTCGAACTGCATTTTCCACACCTAGTCGTAAACTTTGTATAACGTTCAGATTTTCAGGATGCCTTTGATATCACTTGTTTGGTCTCATTTTGCTGTCAGCATCTAGTGGGGGTACTGGGTATACAGCATATACCTACCAACTCAGTTTTCAATTTTTAATGTTTAATTTCTGTACTAATGGAGACATTCATTACTATCCTTTGTCATGTTTATACTACTAAAAATTACTTATAAATGTAGATGGACCTCTTTGTGATCCCTGAGCATCAGTCCCAGATACAGCATTGATGTATGTTTAGTTCCCAGAATCCATGTCTAACACTGGCAGTCTAAATAATCTTTCAGGCTTGGCACCGTCTTTTAATGGCTTCAGGAAGTTGGGAGTGGGTATGTACAAAACAAATTTCTGGTGGGAAAGGGTTGCATGTGAAACTGTAAGCAAATAAGACCCCAAATAAGAAATTTGTGGTCTGGATATATGTTGCTATACCCTCAATGTCGAGGAATGTGGAAAGAGAAGCGGGGGAATTAACGTCAAGTAACAGGCGTGTCAAGATCTGATATAGTTTTTTCCTGTGTATTTGGTAATTAGCAAATGATAGACGATGCAAAGTGCATCGAGCATTGGGGAAACAGTTTAACACAGATATACTCCAATGCATCATCACTATGATAATTTGAGTAATTAAGTTATTATAGTGATGATGCATTTGGAGTGTTTTTCCCAAATACTCTTCCACCTTTAATGGCAAGCAATCTCGTACCCACCTCATGAAAGTGCTACTGAATATGAAGAATTTATCAGTCACATTTACAATTTTATAGCACTGTATTTCAGGTAGATATTACATTACTGTATATGGTAAATTCATTGCAGGATGATAAAATACCAAGTGACCACCTGGTAGAAGTACAGAGTCTGCATGACACCGTGCACCAGCGAGCCTCGTGCTGGTTCAAGTCCGTTGAATCTCTGACAAAAAAGAAAATTCTTAACTACTATGGTTCCATGCCTGATCTTGAAGGAGATTACTGGACGATACCCAATGGCCCAGCTTGGACGTGGTGGATTGTAGCCATTCTTCCCCTAGATTCTCGGATCCAGGTAGGATTAGTGATCATTTACTATATTTTCTTTGAATACTGTTCGGTGGAAAAGGTATGCATCAAATGCACATCATTCCAATGTTATGTATTCTTCTAAAATGTTCTTTTATCTACAGTTGTCCATCTTGCAAGAGACTTCATTACATCGTCGTCTGCACATTATTCATAAAATCATTCGGTGGGTGATTATGCAACCACATACATACATTGCAAGCAGTTACCGTATTTCGGTGACTAACCGCATTACCCATTAGCAGAGTTTGTTGTCTTAACCAAAACTACTGCGGGATCTTGGTTGTTAATGTAATTAATGTAAATAATATACGAACTGAACTATTATATGTACAATAATTGTGTAACTTCGGCAGGGAAGTTAGAGTAATGACAAAATGCATTTTTTTTTTTTTTTTTTTTTTTAACCTGTTTATTTTCTTCCTAGAAGCCCTCCTAAGTCATTAATACTGTATATTATTTTGACTGTATATACAATGCTAGTAAAATTATTTGTTTTATGATCACAAATATTTGGCTGCTGGTCACTTCTCAGGTAAATGTTAATATGGGCATTAGCATGTCTGACATTGTCTTAAGTATTTATTATACTGTATAGTCAACCCACAGCATGCATGCACGTGGTTGTATGCATACCTTTTGTATTCGATTAAGTGATATCACAATTTTCTTGGGTATGAATTCTAAAAAATAAAGTTCATTCCTACTGTATATTGTGTTATTCATGCCCCTCAAGTTAAGCACTGCATACAGCAGGTAATCTATACTGTAAAATGGTTTTAGGATATAAAGTAAACTAATCCAATTCAGTTGCCAATTGGCATCTTCATTACTATGGGGTAAAGGCAATCATTCTCCCTTTTCAAGTAAGTAATTATCAAAAGAAGGCACCAAGCTGGGAAGGCTATGAGCACCATCAAATGTGCAGGATATTCCAAAGGCGCTAAATATCACTAAATATGCCAATACAAGAACAGAAGTGCATAAGGCGGATGATATCAAAGGTATCTGATTCACCAAGGATTCTATTGAGGGACAAGTGACTGTGAGGAAGCAAGACATACGCACGTCCTGGAAGTCGGGACATTCAACAAGGATATGCATGACTGTATGAGGGACAATGCAATTTAGACAATAAGGAGCAGGGCGGTGCTCTAACCACTGCTGCACCAGCCGGAATCCTAAAAATATTAGTTCAAAATAGATATGAGATTTGATTAACATTTGTTAATTTATGTTATTTGCTTCAGCGTCGTGAAAATTTCATCCCAGTATGTTAAGAAATGGATTTTATAACAAAAATTTAATAATAAAACCGGGCACGGTGGCTGCAACCAGTACTGATAATAATAACGCCTCCTATTTACTGAAACTCTAGGATAATGCAGGGATAGAGAGACGCAAGCACCTGTCTGATGCACAAAGAACAGTAGTAGTAACGAGGGTCTACAAAGTGGATATGCTGCTGGCGTCTTTTAGCATTTGAGCGCTAAATTTCACACGTAATAATGAATAATTCCACATTTTCTGTCTTGTATATCAGATACATTTCCCAATGCCAATATTTATTTGTCCCTTTGTACGAGACAAAAGGGGCACCGCCTAAAAAACACACTGAAGAGAGCTCACCTTTCCCATTCAAGTGTTCAAGTAAAGCAAAAGCCATGCCAAGTCCTCAAGGAAAACAGAGTTATCTACAAGTTGGGATGAGTCGGGAACTTTGTAGTACAGGCCTTGCTTACCTTGAGGTTACCTCGAGGTGCTTCCGGGGCTTAACGTCCCCGCGGCCCGGTCGTCGACCAGGCCTCCTGGTTGCCGGACTGATCAACCAGGCTGTTGGACGCGGCTGCTCGCAGCCTGACGTATGAGTCACAGCCTGGTTGATCAGGTATCCTTTGGAGGTGCTTATCCAGTTCTCTCTTGAACACTGTGAGGGGTCGGCCAGTTATGCCCCTTATGTGTAGTGGGACAAGTAGTGGGCCAACTCAAGAGGCGAGATCCATCAAGGAAACGAGGTTCTGATCCTGCAGGAGGAACCAAAATAAGCCCAACAGAGCTGAAGGAGGCAGAATGATGGAAACCTACTGAATAAGATGCAGTCAAAGACTAATGATGCAGCCAGATATCCTGCACCACCTGAACCCCTTCCTCCCCTGCAGAGGGAACTAGAGACCAAGACAAGCTGAATGGCACCCAAGGACCCACCTCTGGCTTCTCCCCAGTCCTAGAAGGCTGAAATGATTAGGCCCAATGCCTAATCAGACAGGAAGGAGATCTCCCACACATCAATGGATGAGCCAAATACACCCCTATTCCCAAGAAAAACGATAGCTATGGATTCTCGGCAGGAAGCAATGGCTCAATTGTCTATACTGCCATTGTGGAAAGGGTGATCATCGGGGAAGGCCAAGCTACACTCATAGCTAATTGCAGTCTGGACAAAAACCCTCAGATGTCCTGGATGGAGGGGTACAAGTGGTTCAGTCGAACCATCTCTCAGCCAGCGGAAGGAGAGTGGCACGTAGAGAACCAGAAGAATACACCAGCTGCTCCATCTCAAAATCCCTAAAAAACAAAAAAGTATCAACTCCAGGGCATCATTTGAGCACCAAGCTGCAAACAAAAATAAGCAAAGGAACACAAAGCAGCGGTTGCCCGTTAGCCCTTCAACTGCATGTCACATCTGGCAATGTCACCACCATTAACCCCTGCCACTGCACCCATTTATAACCAACATCACCCCAGTGAGCAATCATTTTTTTTTTCCTAATATTGTTTAAATACATTCCCTGATCAAAAACAAAATTTGTGACATACTGGGTACTTTGGCCATGGTGAAGCAGGGAAATTTCATGATCACATCACAATTCATGAGCTGTCACGGGGTGATTGCCCGGTGAAGGCTCAGGAGTTGCTGCAAAGATATTTTTGCATATTTATTTCAATGCCTCTAAATTGTTTTTCCTCCGACTTGTGCAGTAATATTCTTCAATAGTACAGTATGACATTTGAGAAATATACAGTATAACAAAATGTGTAGAACACTGGAATCCTCAAATATATTCATGTCACTAACATGTGCTCCATATTATATTTAATAAAATATGCTATTTTTGCTGTTATTACACTATAATATCTATAAATATGTCTGAAAGATTTCAGGCATTTTGTAAGATGTTTATTTCCAAAGAACATTCTTCCTTAAACATCTACATGAAAATAAGCAAACACATTATAGTACTCGTCTATAATTAGTTCTTGTATTCATCAATTTTTTTATTTTTCAAAATTTACACAAAGCCAACTACAGATTATTAAAATACAAAATTACATGAAGATGTTTGCTAATGATGCCAAGTCACTAGGGAAGATAAGAAACTTAATGAATGTCATGCCCTTCAAGATGACCTTGACAAAAAAAAAAAAAAAGTATATGGTGCACCACTTGGCAAACGGAATTTAATGTGAATAAATGCAAAGTTATGTAATGTGGAATAGGATAAAATAGGCCACAGACAACCTACAAATTATGTGAAAAAGCTTTAAAAAATTATGATTAAGAAAGTAAGTAATTATCAAAAGAAGGCGCCAAACCGGGAAGGGCTATGTAGTGCAAGGAGATGATCTAGGGGTGGTTCTGAATAGGAAACTGTCAACTGAGAATCACAAAGAACACTGCAAGGAGCTTATGCTATGCTTTCCAATTTCAGAATTGTTATTAAATACAGAGATGGTGAAGTACTAAAGAAATTGTTCTTGACCTTTGTTAGAACCAAAGCCTGGAATATGCAGCTGTCTTATGGTGTCCATATGACACATCTATAAACTGGAAAAAGGTGTAAAGACATGCAAATAAATGGCTCCCGGAGCTGAAGGACAAAAGCCACGAGGAAAAGTTAGAGGCATTAAATATGCCAATGCTAGAAGACAGAAGAAAAGGAAGTGATATGATCACTACGTACAAAACAGTAACACGAATCAACAAAATTGATAAAAATTCTTAAGACCAGGAACTTCAAGAACAAGGTCACTATTTAAACCTAACTAAACAAAGCTGCCAAAAAATATTAACAAATTTACTTTTGCAGAGTGGTAGACAGTCGAAATAAGTTAAGTGAGGTGGTGGTGGAGACCAAAAGTAGTTTCAAAGTGTTATATGACAAAAAGAGTGCCGGAAAGATGGAACACCACAAGTATAGCTCTCATTCTGCAACTAGTAAGCATCCATCAGTCTCGAGAGACTATGGGGTTACGCTCTGGTTGTCAGTCTGGACAAGTTTCTAGAGAGTTTTCAGACAACATTTCCTAGCACAAGAAACAAAAATGTCTGAAAAGAATTATGGTCGTGGGGAAATTTAATGCAAGTGAAAAGTAGAACGCAGAATTAAGATTAAAATTGCAGAATTATAACCAATGGAAAAAATTATACAAGAATGGGAAAGCAGTACTGACTTTTAAGGTTGGAGTAGAAAAAATGCAGCAGATCATTAGGGGGGCCCTTGCAATGTGTCGTCACACTGCCACTATAGCCTCATTGTGGCTGCATGACCCCCTGTACTTACCCCACACCAGTGTTTCCATGGGCTACCATGGTCACCTGCTCTACTAACTCAAAAGATGCAGTACAAGTACGAAATGAGATGAAGGGATTGCAATGTAGTTAATGGAATGATACTGAAGACCAATATACAACTGGATAACAATAAACAATCATCAACTGCAAATGCCTTTTATTCATAGTTAGTAGTATACTAATCCAAATATGCATTATATAGTATACTACCAAAACCTCTCTCATCAAAATCCACTGTACATGGAATCTCTCATTCATCATATATGCTGTACAAGTCTGTATAGCTGCAAGACTTTATACTGTACAATGAATTCAAGAATATGTAGTGCAATACAATAATAAATTTACATGATGCAGTCGAGTGGGCAGGGCTTCATGACTAGTATTTGCTGTTTTGGTTACATAATATGCATGACCTGTTGTTACAAATAAGAAAAAATAATTCAACAGACAACAAATTGGTTTCCAAGTTGGATAGTGAACTTGTAAAATGCTGTGAATCACAGATTAAAGTTATTAAACTCACTATCTTAATAATGCAATACTGTCAGTTTTCCAAACATGAAAACACTAATATACATAAGTTTTTTGAAGTAATTATTTATTGTCAATAAAAAGGTCTGGAGAAACTATAATCAAGTAAAGTGCCTTACCTTCTCATTAATGATCATACTTTCCAATTTAAAGCACAAAGGAAGCTATACAGAGTAGTGCAATGTCAAGACCAAGTAAGAAACATATTATGCAACAGACTGTACATATGGCAACCAGCCATGATGCTACCACCAGTAGTAACTTCTATACTACCATCAACATCACCATCTTCTCCCTTGACAACCACAATGCATACCATTAGCACTCAACCTGGGGTTTTTAAATTATATCTGATGCACTGCAATGAAGTCTATCATTGATGAAATTGGACGCGACACACATCCACACGTCCAGTTGAGCTAATCCTCGGTGAATGAGGCGCTAGTGTGCTACCACAAGAGATTCATATCAAATTTGTGCTACAACTAATGAGTGATGATCACCCGTGGGTTCTTGGTCTGGCTCCTGCCACCACTCGACGCTGCATGACACAGAATAGCGCTAACTTCACACATAGTACCACTTGGCAGCCATATGGCTAACACTAAACGAGGCAAAGTAACAAAATAAAGTACAGGGAGCAACTAGCAAGACGATGAGACAAAACGTTGACAATGGCGTTGGCACTGTTTCCTGTCCTTGCCGTACACTATGGCACTATCATTCATACAGGTAATAACGTCAGCTCATACTGACCCCCCACACAACTATTCACTTATTGTACATATTCATATTAAAACAAAGTCAATTTATTTGGTCAATTTGAGAA